TTTTTTAAACCAAAAAAAAAAAAAAGAAGCCTAGAACCTTCTATATTTTGTCAGTGCTCTCAGATGAATGGGAACTGGAATTGTGTATCTGAGAAGGCATTTACCTTTAGCAGCTGGATACACGCAAAAGTCCCAGCTCTGGCTCAGGAACATCAGGCCGTGGTCACTGTGGGTCTATTAAAGGCAGCAGCTCCCCACACCGAGAATCCAGCTTCAGGCAGGCCAAGTGGTCCGACCGCGTGGGCCCGATGTTCAGTATCGCAATTGGTAACTTCTTCTCCCGGGCAGTGAGGATAAACCTGTAACCAGAGTACACCTGGCGGAGCAGGAGGCGGCACAGGTAAGAGATGCAGGAAGAGACCGCTAGTCGGGAGCCCCGGAGAGGCTCCCAAAGGGGGTGACCGACAAATACCTGTAAGGACGATCCCACCACCAAGAGAGAGTCGGCTTCTTTGACGCGCCTGTGCACAAAGTCGACCTTGTCGGGGTTCACTGTGTCCCCGAAGAAAACGACATCTGGTTTCAGGGGGCCTCCGCAGCGAGCGCAGGGGGGGACCCGAAAGCTCTGCACCTGCTCCTCCGTGAGAAAGACGTCGCCGTCGGGAGCCAGGCCGTGGGCCTCGGCCCTCCAGGTGGGGTTCAGGGCTTCGAAGCGCTCCTGCAGCACCCCACGCGGGGTCTGCTCTCCACAGGCCAGGCAGAGGACCCTGAAAGCCAAGAGGAGGCCGATGAACGCCTGTCCTGGGGAGGCACATGCATCCCCAACTCTTCAGTCCCTCCATCACCACTTCCTTTTCCCATCACCCAGTTTTAGGAATATCTTCTCATGACTCCTTAGCTACCTCCGTTTCCCACCTTCCTTCCGCTGTCGACCTTCCAGAACAAGTAATGTACCTCCGTCTCCTTACTGAACCCTCCCTGCTTACCCTTCACGAGCTCATTTTATCCTTAGCACGACTGCAAATTCTCTACCACAGAAATGATCTCCTTACTGCCAAAACCAGTTTTCCCCTCCATTCCCTGTTGTTCTCATCTACTGTAATTATTGCTATCCATCACCATCCTTTCATTTTTTTTAAAAAAAGTGTTTGTTTTTTAATGTTTTTGTTGATTTTAGAGAGGCATAGAGAGATAGAAGCATCGATCGGCTGCCTCCTGCACACCCCCTACTGAGGATCGAGCCTGTTCCATCCCCTGTTGTTCTCATCTACTATAATTATTGCTATCCATCACCATCCTTTCATTTTTTTAAAAAAAAGTGTTTAATGTTTTTGTTGATTTTAGAGAGAGAGAAGCATCGATCGGCTGCCTCCTGCACACCCCCTACTGAGGATCAAGCCTGCAACCCGGGCATGTGCCCTGACCAGGAATTGATCCTGTGACCTCTTGGTTCATGGGTCGACACTCAACCACTGAGCCACATCGGCTGGGCCATCACCATCCTTTCTTTAAAACACTTTCTCCCCTTGATGTCTATGACATGGTGTCTTCCAGTTCTCTTGTCACCTCTCTAATCACCAGAACCTGAGCTCTGTGAGGTCTAGAACTTCGAGTCTTGCCCCTTTTGGCAGGACTGCTGCTCATGACCGCTGCTCTATGCCCACTTTAAACCAGCGGTCGCCAACCTTTCGGACCTCACGGACCACCAGTGGCCTAGAACATGCCCACTAAATAGCTGGTGAAAGAAAGAACAAGAGGTGGTTTAGCTGGGTCCTCCTCTGCTCCTCAACCCCCAGCTTGTCTTCTGTCTACGTCCCCCAGCTTGGGGACTCTGTTTGCACTGCCTCAGTGTCTATGCAATGGTTTCCTCTGCGTAGGACTCACTCCTGCTCTCTCCCCCAAACTGGAGTCCAACTCCAAGTGTCCTTGACTGACCTGAGAGGTTCACCTCTGTCTTCAACCACATGCCTCCACCCCCAGCTTCCCCATCACCATCTTGTCTCTAGTTACTTGGGCTGAAACCCTGGGAAAAACTTACTTCTTTTACTCGATCTAGTCAACCATCGGATTATGTTGTGGATTTTTTATTTAAAAGACCCCGTCTGCAACGATAAGAAATCTTGGATTTGTTTTAAAATGTTTCAAAGAGTCACGGAGAGAAGGGATAAAGTAGGCATGATAAAAATCTTTGAATCTGGATAATGGTATATGGGAGTTCATTATACTATTCTCTTTACTTTTGTAGATGTTTGACAGTTTGGGGCGACAAAAATCCCCCAAAGATCACTAAGAGTGATCGGGACAGTTTGAGGGATGGGAGATGATGGCTAAACACCCCAGGACCCATACATCATTAGCTCTCATTCCCCTGCCGTCACCTGAGTCCGGGTCCTCCAGGCTGACCCTGAGCCTCTTCTGTTCCTGTCGGGCCTTCCTCAAATGTTATTTTACATGTTGCCTCTTGCTCAGAAAGCAGTAATAGCCCCTTTGGTCCCACAACAGCCCCAAACGGCCCTGCGTGATTTTCCGATGCACCATGAGCTGGGTTAGCCTCCCCAGACACCTGATCTCATACCAGTCTCCCCAGAGGCCAGACTGGTCTCTCCTGGGCTCTGCACATTCCTTTCACTTAGAAAGCTCTTTCCCCTCCTTTGCCTAATCAGTCTGAGCCAGCCTCAAGCCCCACCACCCACAAAAGCGTCCCCGATTTCTCCCATCTTTACTAAGCCTGTGTCTCTGAACTCATAAAGCTTGTCTGTCGAGGACCCCACGATTTAACAGTCCTGTGTGGAGTCGTTGGTCATTAAACCTGTTGTTTTTGGGTCTCCCCCAAGCCGATTACATAGTTCTCACATGTAAAGTAGACCAAGTTTTATACGCTGGCTTTGATCCCTCCACGCCAAGTAGCACACAGTACACACCACACGTTGTAGGCACCCAATAAATATTTATGATTGGCAGGAGGATCTCTGGGGCTGAAGATAAGGCAATGGTCTCTGATTAGCTACCAGTTATTGCCAGGGCTGCATGTATTCATGCCAGCAACACCTATTGGGTTCTGACTACTACATGCCCGGCTGTAGTGTTCTCTGGGTCTAGGCACCAGAGACGCAGCAGTTTGTAGCACATGCTGTCGTGCTCTGCTCATAGGCCCCTAGGACAGCCACTGCACACGACTTCCTGTGGCCGAGCAAGCCTCCTCTGCAGGAGCAGAGTCAGTGTTAGGGAGGGAATCCCCCAAGCGTGACCTTTGACCAGGGAGGGATGGGAGATGCTGGCTAACACCCCAGCTGCCCTGACTTCCCGTGAGAATTCTGAAACATGCTCTCTAGACCAGCGGTTCTCAACCTGTGGGTCGCGACCCCTTTGGCGGTCGAACGACCCTTTCACAGGGATCGCCTAAGACCATCCTGCATATCAGATATTTACATTACGATTCATAACAGTAGCAACATTACAGTTATGAAGTAGCAACGAAAATAATTTTATGGTTGGGTCACAAGATGAGGAACTGTATTTAAAGGGCCAGAAGGTTGAGAACCACTGCTCTAGACAGAGGCCCAGCAGCCCAGAGCAGTAAGCCGTTCATTAACGTACCCTTTGGCTTTCCTCCCTCCCCCATTTCACTTCCCCACTCCCTCAATGAGTTTGGTGGGATCAACTCCAAACTGAACAACTTACTCCCAAACCCTTTTCTCAAATCGAATGAAGGCAACAGTGATCAAGTCAGCCCAGGTCCCTGCCCTTACGCATTCCTGCATTCAAGCCTTCCCGACGTTTCCGCACCTGTGCATGCATCCGTGCAGCTCGGTGAGGCGCTGACTCCCCGCCTTGGTGTGCAAGGCGTCCACATTCTGGGTCACCAGCCAGTACAGCTTTCCGAGTCTCTCCCAGCTGCTCAGAGCCCAGTGGGCAGGGTTAGGCTGATGAGAGGAGAACCGAGGCCAGCCCACGAAGTTCCTCGCCCAGTACCGCTGGCGGACTGGAGCCCTCTGCACAAAATCCCGATGCTGGATGGGCCTCCGGTCGGTGCGGGCATAGAGTCCCACCTTTTCAGACCTGTAGTCCGGGATCCCTGACTCAGTGGAGACCCCGGCCCCCGTCATCACTAGGAGTTTCTTGGAAAGAGAGACGAAGCGCTGTAGCTCTTTGACCTTCTCAGGGTCCACAGGAGGACTCGGTGGCACAAATAGTCCAATGGATCCATGTGCGCACTGTTGGCTGAGGTTCACCCTCCAGCAGCCTTTCGCTGCCCTCAAAGTCAACCCAACGTTCATCTTCATTCTAGAAAGAGAGACCTCATGTGAAAAACCAAGTGACTGATTGATTGGTTTAGGTATAATTATATATATCATGTTAGCTTCAGGTATACAACAATTACTCAGTATTTGGATATATTGTGAAATGATCACCACATTAAGTTTAGTTACATCTGTCACCACACATAGGTATAAAAATTTTATTCTTGTGGTGAGGAATTTTAAGATCTACTCTCTCAGCAACTTTCAAATATGCACTACAATATTGTTAACTATTGTCGCCATGCAGTACATTATATCCCCATGGCTTAGTTATTGCAAAACTGGAGTTTTATACCTTTTGACCACCTTTACCCATTTCTCCTCCCACCCCCACCCCAGCCTTTGGCAGCCACCAATCTGTTCTCTGTATCTGTGAACTTCAGGATAGACAAATCAGTTTCTCCCAACAAATAAATTGCAAGAGACAGAGATATAGACATAGGTATATGAAGGGGGATTATATAGATTAAAGTATGTGGGCCTTATTTGAGTCCTGATCCAAACAAACTTTTAAAACATGACATTTATAAAATAATTGGAAAATTAAACATTAACTGGATGTTTGATACTAAGAAAATATTATTAATTATTTAACGTATGACAGATAGCATTTTAAAAAGTCCTCATCCTACTGAGTTATATATTGAAATATTTGGATAAAGTTATATATCTAGGAGGATTTGCTTCAAAATAATATGGGGAAGGTTGTGAAGCAGATAGGAGTATAGAAATGAAACAAGATTAACCAAGAGTTGTTAATTATTAAAGCTGGGTGATGGGCCCATGGATGGGGGGTCATTATATTATTCTATCACCACAATAAACATTTTTAAAGTCATTCCTCAGAGCAATGTCTGCTTGCAGATGTCCTAGTATGCTCAGGACAGTGGTAGTGCAGAAATGCCAAAAGCCGTGAGATGAAGGAAAATGATTATATCTTTTGAATATTTTAAAAGCTTAAGAGATATGATCAGAAAAGTTAGACAAAGAAAAAAAGAATGGAGAAGTGTGAAGAGAAGCTAAAATGTGGAATGCTTTACCTTAAAGGAAGATATTTTAAGACCTCTCCAACTTATATCTGGAAACTGCCAACCCAAAGGATTTTTAATTTTTTTATTTATTGATTTTGGAGAGAAACATTGATTTGTTGTTACACTTACTTATGCATTCATTGGTTGATGCTTGTATGCATCAACCTTGGGATTGAACCCACAACCTTAGTGTATCAGGATGATGCTCTAGCAACTGAGCTATCCGGCCAGGGCCCAAAAGGTTTAATTATCAGCAAACTTTTGCACATGCAAATATTTTTTTTAATATATTTTATTGATTTTTTACAGAGAGAAAGGGAGAGGGACAGAGAGTTAGAAACATTGATCAGCTGCCTCTTGCATACCCCCCACTGGGGATGTGCCCGCAACCAAGGTACATGCCCTTGACCGGAATCGAACCTGGGACCCTTGAGTCCGCAGGCCAAAGCTCTATCCACTGAGCCAAGCCGTTCAGGGCTTGCACATGCAAATATTTTAAGAGATGGGTGATGAGAGCCAAGAGCATGACACTGAGAAATGGCTGGAGGATAGGAATTTGTTAGCATTGCGTATAATACTGTCTTCTGGAAGATAATATCTAGATATTAGAACAATGTATTGGAGAGGACCACAGGTTATTACATATCTAAGAAAGCTGTCCACACAGACCATAGTATTTTCTGTGGCAGATTTCATGCTTATCAGAACAACCTATTGATAATGAACTAATTAATGACTTCAGTACCTGCAAGGATGGCCCCAAATAAACAATAATATTTCACTAGAAATATTTTTCACTAGAAAGGTATGGCCCCCTTCCCTCCACACACCCCTAATGTGTATTTATAATCTTACTTTGAAACCCAAATCAATCATTTGTAAAATTTGGGAGGGTGTGAGCTAGCTCAGGATCTGATGACTCAGGATGAATTGAACACTGGGCTCCAGGCTTATAGAGAAAACTGACCCTGCTAGGGCTGTGCTGATAAACTGGCTTTCCCCCTTCCCCCTCAACAAAAGATACAATAATCCCGTCATGGCCAATTTCATGCTACCAATGGTTTAATTACTGGCTAGCAAACTCCTCAATATTTAACACCTGGAACCTCACAAGTGCAAACTGATTCCAGCACACCCTCCTGGGTCCCCTGAAGTCCAACCCGAAGCAACAAGCCTACCTTTTTATTATGTTTTTAATCATCTGTTTTGGTCAAGAAGTTCTAATACCTTCCACAAAATAAAGTCTTGTCTCCACGCGGGACTATTTCATCACAGCCCGAGCCAATCTTATCTTCCTGACCTCTTAAGAACCTATAACCAGAGCTCTACTATGCTGTAGCCATCAGATGAATATTAACTTAAAAGAGCGTTCTGCATTTAAGGGAACTGTATATTTTGGCGTATTTTTTTTTTTAAAAAGAGGAGGCTGTAAAAACATAGCCTATTTAAAAAAGGAGGGAGGATAAAGTAAAAATTGGTAAAGCATATAATCTAAGGCCCTATTGTGAATCTCCCAGTAACACCAGCTGGTCAGACATGAATTCCTTATAAACTTCAAGAAGTTAATGACTTACCTCAATATCCTTTAAATCCCTTAATACCTCATTGTTATTCCATCTATGACTGCATCTAAAGATGTCTCTAGCAGAGGAATATATTTATATTTTAGTTAATACCATCCCTTGGGGAACTTTGTGTTCCATAACCCTACATCCCATCTTCTAAATTAGAATTATCTTATTTCTTTATTATTATGTTTTAATCCTCACCTGAGGATTTTTTTTCCCCATCAATTTTTAGAGCAAGAGAGAGGGAGAGAGAGAAACATCGATGTGAGAGAGACCAATGATTGGCGGCCTCCATACAGCCCTGACCGGGGATCAAACCCGCAACTGAGGTGTGTGCCCTGACTGAGAACTGAACCTGCAACCAGAACTATCTTATTTCTTCATATGCTAAGGAAGCACATTTGAGTTCTAGTATGCCAGGTGTTAATAAAGTTGTTTGCTCAGACTTTTTATTTTATTAATATAATTAAGCACACGCACGCCTCTTGTGTTTCGTTTCCCCCATATTATTTTAGTTTACTCTCAATTGCAAACAGCTACTTGCATACAGCAGAGTAGTGAAACCTGGCCAGTCATCATACCCGCGTGTCCGCTTTTCTAGCTGTAAAAACAAGGCGCTGGCATTATTTGATGGAGGACAGACATTCCCTAGTGACGTGCGCCCCATATGTAAACATTACTTTAATTTGGATTTCCAGATCGGATTCAGGACCCCGATTTCTCCTTGACACTCCACAGCACCGTGTGAACAGCTCAGCACATGCAGGGTCCTAATTCCTGAGACCAGGGGCTCGGGAAGCCCCGCTGCAAACACGCCCCATTAGAACGGCTGCTCTGCCCCAGGTCCCACCGAAGCGCAAAGAGGAGGAGTGTAATCCCTTATAAGAAACCCGCAGCCTCTAGCAACCTCGCAGCCCGCAAGGAGCTCCCTTACCTTTCACAGCCCAAGGGACACTTCAAGTCCGACAGCGGGACTGCCTGGCCACATCTGCATTCTGGGTAATGTAGTTTACGAAGCTTAAATAACGCAAACACTACAAGTCCCACAATCCTCTGGGTTTCACAGTTGCTATAACCAGGTTGTCCAGTTGCGCCCCCTGGGGGCTCTTTGTGGTCAGAAGTTTTGAGCCTTCCTCGTGGAGGTGCTGCTCTCACCTAAGGAATCCCATACATTGTCCTCCCTAAGAAGTATTCACAGCGTCACACCAACGTCTTTAAAGTGCAAAATCACGGAATCGCCGTACACTTTTTTTATTCATAGACGCGTGTCCCCCTCCAGCCCCGACCTGGGCTGGGGTCAGTAACTTATTTGTCCGGCTTCGCGGAGGCTCCTCTGGGTTTGTCCTCAGGTGGTCTGTGGGTGTCTTTCAGAAAATGGTTATTTTATATGATTTGTCATGGAATTTGTTCTAATAAATCATTCTATCACGAGGCAAAAAATAAAAATAACAAAGTGCAAAACCATACATCCAAACAGCCCTTAGGAATTCATTCTCGGTTTTTGTTTATCCTCACCCGAGGATATTTTTTCCATTGATCTTTATTTTTATTTATTTTGAAATATATTTTTATTGATTTCAGAGAGGAAGGGAGAGGGAGAATCATTAATAGGCTGCCTCCTGCACGCCCTCCACTGGAGATTGAGCCCAAAACCCCAGCATGTGCCTTTGACTGGAATCAAACCCAGGACCCTTCAGTCTGTAGGCTGACACTCACTGAGCCAAGCCAGCTAGGGCTCCATTGATATTTAGAGAGAATGGAAGGGAGGGGGAGAGGCAGAGAGAAAGAAATATTGATGTGAGAGACATATCGATTAGTTGCTTCCAGATTGAGCCTGCAAACAAGTGCCCTTCACCAGAATTGAACCCGAGATCCTTCAGTCTGAGGGCCGAGGCTCTAACCAGTGAACCAAACCAGCTAGGGCTCATTCTCTCTTAAGATAGAAACCTTAATAAGACTTCTAGATTTGGACCGACCTCAACCTCAGTGTTTATGATCCTTTCCACTCACTGTGACTGGGTCAGGTTCCCACCTTGTGGGTTGTCAAGTACATTCACAAGTACCTGGAAATGGGATGTTTTTACATATTCATGAACAACTAAAGCCAACTCTAATATACAGGGACTAATGTGTCTACCCACTTGGCTCCTCCAATTTTATTTTCCATCTTGTGTGTTATTAAGTTAACCAACACAAAGCCTGGTTTTCACTCCCAGAGGCTGATTGAATTGGTCTGGGGAAACGCCTGGGGCATCAACTCACTTTTCAAACTTCCCAGTTGTTTCAAATGTGTGGCCTAGGAGAACCTCTGCTCTATAGCATCACCTAAGTAAGACAGCAATCAATTTATAAGAGTTTCAGGACATAATTAAAGGGCAGTTAGCAGGGACCTTGAAGACCACCTGTGGAACCACTTCCCCCGGTTTAAGGTAAACTGAAGCCCCGAGGAAGGGTATGGGAGATGGAGTCTGACTCCTGGTCTCTCATTGAATGTGCGGAGGTAAATATTGGAAAAGTACCGAGGGCAGTAGTTTGGGAGCAGTGCATCCAGCAACTGCTCGGCGAGGTCACTAGGCTGGAGAATCACCTGACATGGACAGCCTTTTGTGCCTTCAGACTGGAAACGTTTACCAAGTCAGAACAGTTGTAATCCAGAACATTTTCTGCACACGTGGGTGTTTAATCAAAACCATGGAAATGCCCCCAAAGTGACATTCCTCCCACCCCAGCCACATTTTATGATGAAATATTTCAAACCCATGTTACTTTTTCAGTTCTCCAAGCGGGATGAGCATTATTGATAGAGACTGGATAGGAATATACAACTATTGTGCTTTCAGACCCCAAAGAATCTACTGTTCTGGAGAGAAGTTAACTGAATTTTCCATTTTCTCCTAGTGCTGGAAAGTTATCTGTGGCGGATGAAGTCATCCAAGACAGCTGGTGAAACACAATTTCCCTTGATAGCTACTGACAGGATGTAATGAGCCACCCAATCACGACATTCTCAAGGGCTAAGTCCTTTTTATTTCTCTCTCTTTTTTTTTAAAGATTAATTAATTTTATTTTTTATTATTTGTTTTAGAGAGAGGAAGGGAGGGCAGAGAGAGAAACAAATCAGCTGCCTCCTGCATGCACCTGATTGAACCCGCAACCTGGGCATGTGCCCCAATCAGGAATCAAATCGGCGACCTTTCAATGCACGAGACAACGCTCAACCTACTGAGCCACACCTGCCAGGACTCCTTTTATTTCTCACAACTCCACCACACCAGAAATTAATGACTAAGTCAGTGATTGTATCAAAGCAAAAACGAGCGAGGGCTCCATTGATATTTAGAGAGAATGGAAGGGAGGGGGAGAGGCAGAGAGAAAGAAATATTGATGTGAGAGACATATCGATTAGTTGCTTCCAGATTGAGCCTGCAAACAAGTGCCCTTCACCAGAATTGAACCCGAGATCCTTCAGTCTGAGGGCCGAGGCTCTAACCAGTGAACCAAACCAGCTAGGGCTCATTCTCTCTTAAGATAGAAACCTTAATAAGACTTCTAGATTTGGACCGACCTCAACCTCAGTGTTTATGATCCTTTCCACTCACTGTGACTGGGTCAGGTTCCCACCTTGTGGGTTGTCAAGTACATTCACAAGTACCTGGAAATGGGATGTTTTTACATACTCATGAACAACTAAAGCCAACTCTAATATACAGGGACTAATGTGTCTACCCACTTGGCTCCTCCAATTTTATTTTCCATCTTGTGTGTTATTAAGTTAACCAACACAAAGCCTGGTTTTCACTCCCAGAGGCTGATTGAATTGGTCTGGGGAAACGCCTGGGGCATCAACTCACTTTTCAAACTTCCCAGTTGTTTCAAATGTGTGGCCTAGGAGAACCTCTGCTCTATAGCATCACCTAAGTAAGACAGCAATCAATTTATAAGAGTTTCAGGACATAATTAAAGGGCAGTTAGCAGGGACCTTGAAGACCACCTGTGGAACCACTTCCCCCGGTTTAAGGTAAACTGAAGCCCCGAGGAAGGGTATGGGAGATGGAGTCTGACTCCTGGTCTCTCATTGAATGTGCGGAGGTAAATATTGGAAAAGTACCGAGGGCAGTAGTTTGGGAGCAGTGCATCCAGCAACTGCTCGGCGAGGTCACTAGGCTGGAGAATCACCTGACATGGACAGCCTTTTGTGCCTTCAGACTGGAAACGTTTACCAAGTCAGAACAGTTGTAATCCAGAACATTTTCTGCACACGTGGGTGTTTAATCAAAACCATGGAAATGCCCCCAAAGTGACATTCCTCCCACCCCAGCCACATTTTATGATGAAATATTTCAAACCCATGTTACTTTTTCAGTTCTCCAAGCGGGATGAGCATTATTGATAGAGACTGGATAGGAATATACAACTATTGTGCTTTCAGACCCCAAAGAATCTACTGTTCTGGAGAGAAGTTAACTGAATTTTCCATTTTCTCCTAGTGCTGGAAAGTTATCTGTGGCGGATGAAGTCATCCAAGACAGCTGGTGAAACACAATTTCCCTTGATAGCTACTGACAGGATGTAATGAGCCACCCAATCACGACATTCTCAAGGGCTAAGTCCTTTTTATTTCTCTCTCTTTTTTTTTAAAGATTAATTAATTTTATTTTTTATTATTTGTTTTAGAGAGAGGAAGGGAGGGCAGAGAGAGAAACAAATCAGCTGCCTCCTGCATGCACCTGATTGAACCCGCAACCTGGGCATGTGCCCCAATCAGGAATCAAATCGGCGACCTTTCAATGCACGAGACAACGCTCAACCTACTGAGCCACACCTGCCAGGACTCCTTTTATTTCTCACAACTCCACCACACCAGAAATTAATGACTAAGTCAGTGATTGTATCAAAGCAAATTAATCTAAATTAATCAGATTGTTAGTGTTGTTTTATCTGCTGGTTTTTCTTATCCTGGCATTTATATCTGGGTGAAAAAAAATTAACTATACATCAGCATCATACAAGCCTTTTTTAAAAAATACATTTTTATTAATTTCAGAGAGGAAGGGAGAGGGAGAGAGAGATAGAAACATCAATGATGAGAGAGAATCATTGATTGGCTGCCTCCCGCACGCCCCCCCACTGGGGATTGATCCCGCAACCCAGACATGTGCCCTTGATCGGAATCGAACCTGGGACCCTTCAGTCTGCAGGCCAACGCTCTATCCACTGAGCCAAACCAGCTGGGCACATATAGGCCTTTTAAAGATGTTCATTTTTGCATCCAGATGCCAACTACATGAATATTCACTGAACAGTATTTTAAATGTTTTGTGTTTGAAATTTTTTAATAATAAAATGTTGAGGAGAAGATTTCTTTCTCAGAGACTACTATTTGCATCTTAACGAGTAGCAAAAGCCATAAGTATTCTGGAGAATATAGCTCAGGGAGGAAACAAATCCAGATAGCAGTTTCTAACAGCTTTCCACTTGCAGAGGGAACACAGGCAATGAGTGAACGTCACTTCAAACTTCGTGAGCTGTGAATATTGCTGTGGAAACAGCTTCTTCCTTTCAGCCTCGCTCTTCTAAATTAAGATGTCCACAGAAAACTCTTTTGTATTAAACATTTAAGTAGTATATGATCCAGAAATTCCACTTCTAGGTATATATACACAAAAATTGAAACAAGGACTCAAACTGATACTTCTATGCCCTTGTTCCTAGGAGCACTATTTACAAGAGCCAGAAGGTAGATGCTCAGTTGGTTGAGCGTCCTCCCACGCACTGAAAGGTCTCTGGATCGATTCCCGGTCAGGACACATGCCTGGGTTGTGGGCTCGATCTCCAGTGGTGGGCATGTAGGAGGCAGCCCGTCGACTTCTTACGTATCAATTTTTCATTCTCTCTCTCTCCCCCTCCCTTCCTCTTTCTCTAAAATCAACAGAAACAATTTTTAAATTTTTTAAGACTTTATTGTTGAAAGTATTACATAAGTCCCCCATTTCCCTCCCATTGACCGGT